GGAGGGAATCCTGGGTCCCGGGTGTGGGGCGAGGCAGAGGTGGTTAGGGGTGATCAGGCCAGCAGGGGAGCAGTTAGGGGCAATCAGGCCAGCAGGGAAGCAGTTAGGAGCGATCAGGCAGGCAAGTGGTTAGGAGCCAGCGGTCCTGGATTGCGAGAGGTAGTAGGACATCCCCCGAGGGGTCCTGGATTAGAGAGGGTGCAGGCCAGGCTGAGGGAGACACCTCCCCCTCCCCCCGGCCATGAATTTCATGTACAGGCCTCTAGTAAGCATATAAGAAAAGGTGTTTGCTACCAATATTCACCACAGAAATACAAATTAAAACCAGAATGAGGAATACAAATTAGTTCCACAAACTACATACCCATTTAGGATGACTAAACTTTATGAGACTGAAAATCAATTGTTGGTGAGAATGTGGAGCCACCTGAACTCTCATATATTTGCTGGTGAGGGGTTAAAATGGTACAAAAAGTTTCAGCAGTTTACTATAGTTAAGTACAAAGCATACACTATCCTATGACCCTATAAATCCACTCCTAAATATTTACTAAAGAAAAGTAAGAACATATGTCTACCAAAAGGCCTCATACAAGAATGTTCTGCTTTCTTCATAACTAGAGGCCCAGTGCACGAATTCATGCATGGGTGGAGTCCCTCAGCTTGTCGGGTCATCTCGCCCAGTCCCAATCAGGGCCAATTGGGGCCAGCCAGGGGGAGAAACCACAGGAGGTTGGCCGGCCACAGGAGATTGGCTATGGGAGCACACTGACCATCAGGGGGCAGCTCTGCATTGAGTGTCTGCCCGTTGGTGGTCAGTGCGCATCATAGCAACCAGTCGTTCGGTTGCTTAGACTTTTCTATATATAGACTAGAGGCCCAAAGCACAAAATTTGTGCAAGGGATCTCAGCCCTTGCAGCCCCAGCTGCCTCAGCTGGCCCTCGCAGCCCCAGCCAGGCCTCACAGCCCCTTGCAGCCTCGGCCAGCCCTCGCAGCCTCGGCTTCGTCCAGAAGGTCATCCGGGCGGTCGTTCTGCTGTTGGGTCTAATTAGCATATTAGCTCTTTATTATATAGGACTAGAGGCCCGGTGCACAAAAATTTGTGCACTCGGGGAGAAGCGGGGGTCCCTCAGCCCAGCCTGTGCCCTCTCGCAGTCTGGGACCCCTCGGGAGATAACTACCTGCTGGCTTAGGCCTGCTCCTGGGTGGCAGAGGGCAGGCCCAATCCCTAGGTGCAGCCCCTGGTCGGGCTCAGAGCAGGGCTGATTGGGGAGTTGGGGCGCCGCCCCCTGTCATGCACAGAGCAGGGCGGATTAGGAGGTTGCGATGCCACCCTCAGTTATGCTCAGGGTAGGGCCGATTGGGGGGTTGGGGCACCGCCCCCTGTCACACTCAAGGCAGGGTCGATGGGAAGGTTGTGGCGCCACCCCATCACGCACAGAGCAGGGCCAATCAGGGGGTTGGGGCGCTGCCCCCTGTCACGTACAGAGCAGGGCCCATCAGGGGGGTTGGGGCTCCGTACCCTGTCACGCACAGCTGTCACACACAGAGCAGGGTCTGGGCACAGCCCCCTGTCATGCACAGGGGGGGTTGGGACGCCGCACCCTGTCACACACAGAGTCGCAGGGCAATCAGGGGGTTTGGGCGCTGCCCCCTGTCACGCTGATCCGGTGCCAGGAGGCCTCACGGCTCCGCTGATCCCGGTGCTGGGAGGCATATTACCCTTTTACTATATAGGATAGAGGCCTGGGGGCCGGCTGGTTTGACCTGAAGGGTGTCCTGGATCAGGGTGGGGGTCCCCACTGGGGTGCCTGGCCAGCCTGGATGAGGGGATGATGGCTGTTTGCAGATGGTCACACACCCTTCAGGGTTGGGGAACCCACTGGGGTGCCTGGCCAGTCTGGGTGAGGGGCTGAGGGCTGCTTTCAAGCTGGTGGTTGACTGAAGCTCCCAACCACTCCTTTTTTCTTTCTTTTTTTTTTTTTATTCTGGGCCAGCTTTAGCTCTGGCTCTAGCTCTGAGGCTTCCGCTGCTGAAAGCAGGTATCTGGTTTGTTTGCGTTCTATAATTGAAACAATGTATAACTCCAGCTCTGAGATCCCGGGCTGGCTGAAAGCTGGTTTCTGAGGTTTTGTTTAGCTTCTATATTTGTTACAAAGTTTCAAACTGCCAGCTCAGAGGCCAGCAAGGCAGGCGGGGAACGTTGGAGTTCTCTGTCACTGAAGCAAGCAAGCCTCCTGTTCGCTTCCAGCTGCCTGGCTGCCGGCCGCCATCTTGGCTGACAGTTAATTTGCATATCACCCTGATTAGCCAATGGGAAGGGTAGCAGTCGTATGCTAATTACCATGTTTCTCTTTTATTAGATTAGATAGCCCATATATCTGCCAGTAAGTGAAACAATTTGTGGTATATTCATACAATAAAAATAGTTACATGCAATAACCTAGAACAATGTTAAAACCATTGTTTTAAAACAAAGACACAAAGAGTATATGCTTTATGATAGCATATATATGAATTTCTAGAGCAGGCAAAAGTAATCTATAGTAAAAAACAAAAAAACAACAGTAGACGCCTGGGGGTCATGGGTGAGGAGCATGGGAATTAACTCGAAAGGGTCACTAGGACCTTTCTGGGGTGACAGACATATCCAATATCTTGAGTGAGGAATGTTATGTAAACATCTGTAAAAATTAGTTTTGTACATTATAATGTATGTAAATTTTACCCCCCAAATATCAATTATTAAAAAAAAAATTAGTGGGGATAGGGAGGTGATAAAGGTACTACTGAAACAAGAAATGGCAGATTATTCTTTATTGAAACTGGGTGATGGGCACATGAGGGTTCAATAAATTATCATATTTATTTATGTTTGAAATTTTTCAAAACTGTTTTGAAAAAATGATTTTTCTTAATTCTGCCTCAATGAAGGAGGAGAATTGGTCATCACTGTCTTTCACATAAAGTAAAATCTCATAAAGGCATTCCCTAAACTTTCTTTTCTATGCTAAATAACACCATTCCTTTATACTTTCTTTAATCTTATTATACAGCTCACCTTCAAATCTCTTCATGTTTTCCATATCTCATTTTATTTACTATAATCTATAGAAAGGAAAGAGTTGGAGAGTTACACTCCTTTAGTCCCTACCACATGTATGTCAGTATGCTACCTACTTTGAATTCATTACTCAACTTATATCCCCAAACTGAATTTTGTATCTAAAATTTCAGTCTTGTTTACTTATTACTTCTCTCTCTCATGTGAATTCATGTTCAGTGTCAACATGAATCTTGCTCAACATTTCTTCAGATCTGACACACAGCATATATGTATAAATCATATAATTGAGGGATATCAGCTCACAAATATTAGGTTTAGCTCTCTTTTTGGTGGTACAAATAATTTTTCATTCCAGTTATACCTAGCTTGTTTTGCCTTTAATCTTACTGTCATCTGTATCAATTGTTGTATGTATTTGTTTCACATGGAATAGAATGATCTGTGATTGAGAACTTCACATTTTCTTTATTTCAAAATGTAATCATAAAAATATTTTAATATAGTAAATCAATTTACTCTATACATTTCAGCATATCTTTAAATGAGGCGATTTCTATATTAGTGTTACTTTTCCTGTTCCTATTCATATAGCTAAAGAAAAATATCTTAATGCTTTCATTGTCTCAAATTCTGTTAACATCACCATTAAGGTGATAAATAACATAGCAAATATTGAGAACTGAGATTTCCTTATAGAGCAGTGATTCTCAACCTTCCTAATGCTGCAACTCTTTAATACAGTTCCTCATGTTGTGGTGACCTCCAATTTCATTGTTACAAATTGAACATAATTAAAGCATAGTGATTAATCACAAAAACAGTATGTAATTATATATGTGTTTTCCAATGGTCTTAGGCGACGCCTGTGAAAGGGTCGTTTGACCCCCAAAGGGGTTGCAACCCACAGGTTGAGAACCGCTGTTATAGAGGGATAAATCAGTTAATGATAGATTTATTTTTTAAAATATATTTTATTGATTTTTTACAGAGAGGAAGGGAGAGGGATAGAGTTAGAAACATAGATGAGAGAGAAACATCAATCAGCTGCCTCTTGCACACCCCCCACTAGGGATGGGCCCACAACCAAGGTACATGCCCTTGACTGTAATCGAACCTGGGACCTTTCAGTCCGCAGGCCGATGCTCTATCCACTGAGCCAAATCGGTTAGGGCTAATGATAGATTTATAATAAAAACAATCAATTTTACTTCAAAATAGTTAATCTAACAAAGCATCTATATAAGCCTAAACCAAACTGTTAGTTCCCTTTATCAAAATACAGAAAAATCTAGCTTTATTCTCAGAGTACATTTTTCAGCAAACATTTGGGCATAGTTTATGAGTAAACCCGCCAGTATCTTAAGATTAGAATTAGAATTCCACCTCAATTTTGAATATTTAGTCTTATCTTCAAAACATCTATGAAGTTAAAAAAAAACAAAAAAACAAAAGGAGGTGGGGAAAACAAGTGTTACTAGTGGTATTTGTAAAATACAAAAATTGAGTAAAAACTGGCTGCTAATTACAGTCAGTTGGTTGTTAAGACCAAGAATTTTTCCTTATTAATTAAGCAAAATATCCTACCCAAGAAGTTGGTAGCTGCAGTGTTTCTCTAACCAACTAAAACTTAAAAAAAAAAAAAAAAATTTCTAACATTCTAAGGGAGAAGGCGAGAGAGAAAGAAGTAAACATTAGGAGAAACAAAATCACTCATGAAGAATGACATTGTATTTATAAAATTTTATTTAAAAGACAGTTCACAAAAGCCTTACATATATTATTTGCCACATGTCCAAATTCTTCCAGATACCATTTTATGTTTACAGATTATACATAACTTAAAAAATTTTTAATTCAAATGTACCAAATGCAGCAAAGTTTAGAAATTTCAAAATAAATACTTATTTAGAGACACCAGCAAATAGATCTGACCTTTTCAAGTGGCTTTCCCAGAGAGTTTCCAATCAGTTTCCAGTCATTCAAGATTTCTTCAACTCTGGAAATAAACCTAGGAAGGAGCAAAAAAAACTCTTTCTACATATGTAACTGCATATTTTTTACTATTGTTATACAATTCATAGAAAAGCATTTTTTTATATTTTAACATTTTTATCAGAGAAGTCTCCTAAGTTTAATATTGTTAGTCTAATTTATCAATGTGGAATAAAAGTGAAAATAATTTTCTTTAATTTAAGAATTCTTAGATTTTGAGTATACTGCTTATCCAACAAAGGCATTCTGTTTGCTAAAAATATATAAATTAAGAATAAAAAATATAAATTAAGAATATTTTATATAAATGTCTATATAAAATAAATTTGAGACAGAAGTAAAAACTGAGACTAACATAATACTATTAAAGATAATTATGAAATCATAATATTTTCCCTATTTTCAAAATAACTAATTTAATGACTTTTCCTTTAAAGATTTAGGAATTCTGATATTCCTTCTCCCCTCCCCCAAAAGAAAACATTATTTGGGCACATTGTTCATTAAAATAAAATAAAATTTAAGGAACAGCTGGCAAGAAAATCCAAGTACATTTATCAGCTTTAAGGAATTTATAAATCCTTATAAAAACTGACAGATTTTATAATTATTCACATCTTTAAATCTAATGATCAAAAGACCTATTTAAAAAAAGACCAAATTTGACCAGCAATATGCTCAACATTAGCAAATGAAAACTGTCAAATCTCAGCAGTAATGTTAAATACATATTAAAAGACACTTTCTCAAGACCTGTTATTACTCTAGGAAGCTGACTTCTTATATAAGTATGATGCAATATAACAACAACATTGCTCTACTAAAACGCCTACATAGTATTAGAGTTAATTCTAGTAAAATACAAGGCATCAGGTTTTTTCTTCAGTGACTTACATAGTAATTTTTACATTTCTGTTGTAAGACAGTAATGATAAATCACTTTTTATGATTCAACTGAACCTTCTAATTAATTCCTCTTTAAAATTCAAGGCATTAATCCTGACTGGGCACAAATATTGTCTTTTCTAAATACTTGATTGAGTCTCCTTAGACTCAGGTATTTCCAGTTTATAAAGCATATTTTTCTGTCTAATTCGTAAAAAATATAAACTAGCTAACAGTAATAAAAATAATTCCATAAGGAAAAAAATTTAAAGGCATTAATATATACTAATTCACTTTGGGGAAGGGGGATTCAGTCAAAAGGCAATTATCAGCTTTGAATATGAGTGTGACAGAAATTAGCTAATATGTTTTTAAAAAGAATAAAAATTTAATAATAAAAAGGTATCCATATGAGCGAAAATTTGCGTGTTAACTGGAACCTATCTTAATGTGCAACTGCAGCAGAGTTGTAAATTAATGGTATATCCATTCAATGAAATAATATGTACCCATTAGTAATCATGTTTTAAAGTCCATTTGAGGAAGTAAATGTTCATATGTTAATGGAAACCATATAAATATTAAAATGGTCTGATACAAGTTTACAAAACACATAGATTAGAAGGAATTTTCTCAAAATAGTAATAGTCGCTATCTAATGGTGGTAGGATTACAGGTGCTTTTTCTTTCTTTTTAATTCTACTATCGGACTCTATCCTAAAAGTATTGGTATTTGACTAGAATAATTCAATAACTTTACCTTGAAAGCTCTCCAGATCTCAGGTAAAGTGTCATTTCCTCTGGCTCCTCATTCTATATTAGGTCTAATGGCTATATGCTCTTAAAAGACCAGGTTTATTTCCCTTCTCAGCCCTTATTTCAATTGTAATTAAGACTCATTTCTATTATTACTTTAATCATATCTGTCTCTTTCACTAAACTATACACTCAGTAAGAGCAGGAATCATCTGTTCTTATTCACCACCACATCCCTAATGTCCTCAATTGTACCTGAAACATGGGCACTCAATAAATATTTCTTCAAGAGAAAAATGATAAAAAGAGTACGGGTTTCTAGTCAGCCCTCTCAATAAATTGTATGGCTCATACCATACCGAAAAGAATTCTTCATTCAAACATTATACTCAAAGTTGAAGAGACTCCAAAGTCTTAACATCTTCCCATGAATCATAAAACACTATTTCACTCTAGAAACAGAAGTCAATAACCAAAAGTCAATAACCAAATTTCCTACTTTGTATTTATCATAACTGTATTAACAATCATTTTCATACTAGCTGCCCAGTGCACATATTCGTGCACCTTGAAAGGAACTGTGGGCCACAAGGCTGGGGTGGGCACAGGGCAGGTCTCGGCCCAACCCTCCGCACCCCCGCCCGGCCCCTCCCGCCACGGCGCCCAGTCCCCTTTCTGCCACCGCAGCTCGTATCCACTGATGGTGCGGAGCCATTGGGGCCGATGCCAGCAGCGGGTGCAAGCGGGACCTGCGCTGTCAGGGAGTGCAAGTGGCAGCAGCTGCTGCTACAATCACCCCTCAGGAGCAGGAGGAGGTAGAGAAGCCCTCAGGGGCATTCAGGGCTGGCAGCCGCAGCTCACACCCACTGACAGCACTGAGCGATTGGGACAGGCGCTGGGCAACGACAGCAGGTGCGAGTGGCGGCTCCAGTACCGGCTGCTGGTGAGAGCAGGGCTGGCACCAGCAGTGGATGCTGGCAGCAGCTCCAGCATTGGCAGTGGGTGCGAGAGGTGGCTGCTGGCTCTGATCACCCCTCAGGAGCAGGGGGAGGTGGAGAAGCCCTGAGGGGTGATCAGGGCCAGCAGCCACCACTTGCACCTGCTGACAGCGCCATGCGAAGAGGGCTGGTGCCTTGTGCGAGCAGCGGCTCCAGCACCAGCAGCAGGTGCAAGCGCTGGGCAGGACCGCGGCGGATTTTTCAGTAACCACCAGAGGTTTGCCCCAATGACAGCGACCAGCGCCCTGCCTTGATATGGCACCCCCGCTCACCTGCTCCATCATCCCACCAAGGCCGACACCTGCCATGTTCCGCACGCGCCCCCTGGTGGTCAGAGCACATCATAGCGACCGGTTGTTCTGCTGTTTGGTCTATTTGCATATTAGGGTTTTATATATGTACTAGAGGCCCGGTACACAAAAATTTGTGCACTCGGGGGGGGAAGGGGGGGTTCCTCAGCCCGGCCTGTGCCCTCTCGCAGTCTAGGACCCCTCGGGAGATAACGACCTGCTGGCTTAGGCCTGCTTCCGGGTGGCAGAGGGCAGGCCCAATCCCTAGGTGCAGCCCCTGGTTGGGCTCAGAGCAGGGCCAATTGGGGAGTTGGGGCGCCGCCCCCTGTCATGCACAGAGCAGGGCGGATTGGGAGGTTGTGATGCCACCCTCAGTCACGCTCAGGGTAGGGCCGATTGGGGGGTTGGGGCACCACCCCCTATCACACTCAAGGCAGGATCGATGGGGAGGTTGCGGAGCCACCCCCTGTGATGCACAGAGCAGGGCCAATCAGGGGGTTGGGGTGCTGCCCCCTGTCACTCACAGAGCAGGGCCCATCAGGGGGTTGGGGAACTCTCCTCTGTCACGCACAGAATAGGGCTGATAGGGGAGTTAGGGCACCGCCCCCTGTCACACACACAGCAGGGCGGATCACGGGGTTGGGGCGCCGCCCCTCTATCACCCACAGAGCAGGGCCGATCAGGGGTTGGGGCACCGCCACTGTC